TATGTGTATATATATATATATATATATATATAATATGACTAGCGATCAACATGCCGAGGTTAAGGTTGTGTTTTAACAAATGAAATTTATTTACAGAAAGGCCATGATGAGGACAGTGGTTGTAGCTCTGATGATGATTGCCTGTGTTCATGTTACGATCTCTGCAACTGTGGTGGATGATGAAGATGATATTAATGATAATTTGGATCCCGACAGCCAGGTAGAGCTCTTGTCTCCAGATGAAGAAGAAGGCTTTTTTTTCAGCCACGACATGAACCCATTCAAGTTTCCGGACTTTAGTGAAATGTTCAAGAATATGTTCGGTAAGATGAAAAGAAACTGAGAAGTAAAGAATTCATAAAGCACAATATTAATTTTTATGAACAATCTCTCAAGTAGAAAAGACATAGATATAAATAATACCACTTAGTATACTTATAGTCACGTAAGACAACATATTTATGGACTTGTAATGTAATAACACAGTATTATTGTAATAACGAATTTAGAATTAGAATATATATTAAAATAAGTACAAGTTTAAAATGAGAAACATATAGTTGTTGTTGATTCATTATAATAATTATAAGAATGTTCAGAAGTTAATAACATATCAAATAAGTGACCATTCTCAGTTTCTCTGTTCTAACTTTGTAACTACAAATTCTACTTAAACTGCTACTCTGTAATATCACTAACATTAGTTATAGTTGTTGCTTATTAAGTGTATTAAATCCCAATTAGTATCGTCCTCCACATGTGTAATTTCTAACTAGTTTTGCCCTCTATAAGTATAGTTTGGAAATTTGTTGTTTACTTCAGTAATATGCATCACAATCAACGATTATTAACATTGCTGGGCACATAGTTAATAAAGGTTTCGTTATTTGAATAAAATGTAATTTGTGGATGAAATATTTTTTATTACTAGTATAATTGTTCTTTAGATTTAATGAACGGAATTCAGAAGAGGATCATCGAAGAAAGCAGCAAATATCCAGTAAATTACAATGACACATTAACTGAGGACGTAGTTATTAATGGAAAGAAGTACAAGATGAAGAAGAAAGTCATCCGAAGAGGAGACAACACATCTTCAATCTTCGTCAGCGCTGTGTCCTACATTCCGGCGGAGAGGAGAAAGGTGAATGTTAGTTATATATTGTTATAGGCTGTGTTTTTGTTCTAGACGTTTCTAGAGATTTATATTGATATTTGGCCAGAGGACATTTGTTTTAATAAGATAAGCATGGCTTAACGACTGGAACTCTCTTCAAAAGTTGGAAAACTATTTTAGAGTTCTGGAAAGTGAACTACACCAGAGTAGATAATTACTGATTTTTTGAGTTTAGTAAGTAACAAATCTTGAAACACGTGTACTGGGTGATCCAACGAGTTTATTAGATATTTAGTTAGTCTGGTGCTGGAATAATGTTTGTGGTGTCAACAAATTATTAACAAGTAATTAAATTGTTATATTAGTTTCTACTGTGAACTTTGGTTAAGCTATTAGTTAAGCTAACTTGTAGAGCTTTTAGTAGAAGAAATAAAACATTTTCGTTGTCATTAGGTGGGGTAAACATCGCATACTTATTTTTACCAAATTATTCAAAAGAACATGGAAACTGTTAAAACTATATGTCTGAGCTGTGTGTTCGATGCGAGTGTTAAATTTAGTTATTTTTAGAAGCGATAGTTTATGGCAGGTTTATTTACGTAACTGTGTGCAAATCATACGATATGTAGTTCAATTGTTGTGAATTGGCGATTGTATCACTGCGTCATGTTACTATAACCTTGCAAGTTTTTCTCGTTGTTTTAATTGAGTATTATTGCATCATAATATTTCGTAGTGTGTAGAACGTTTTAGGCCTCAGTCAGGCTATAAATATGCATACAAAATGTAGTTCGAGTTAGTAAGATGTAGATAGAGAGACAGGTAGATTTAGACTGCGTGATTGTGAATTTAGTCCTAAAATAGCATATAATGGCGGTTTTAAATGCAATTATCACAGATCGCTTTGTAATAACAGAGTTGAGAAGAATAATTAGTCTTTTAAATTGTGTTCTAAAGTAATTGAACCAGCCTGTGTGGACTCTGACGTAAAGGAGACAATTATTCAAATCTCTAGATACAACTATGGTAACCAGCAGTGTAACTAACATTTGTATATGCGTTTGACTTGTTTTGATATATTATTTTAACACAAGTTGACTGTGTACTGTTTATTTATTGTTGAAATTTATTACCAACTAATCAAAGACACCTACTGTAATGAATCCATACATAAACCTGACAATTGACATTAATTATGTGTGATAACACTGTGTCATGGTCTATGTGTTATGTCTTATTCAGTATAATAGCACAGTGTCATATCTCACTCGGAGGGAAAGGTTGACATTAGTTACGTATAATAACGCCGTATCTTATATCTCACTCAATCTGCTTACGCTAAAATAAACATAGTTTAGTAACTCTATCTAAGCGAATATGATCTTTAAGTTCATTAAAAATATAATTAGTCGTTATGTAAATAAAAATAACGAAATGATATCCTTCTTATTCGTAATAATGTTCAGTAGGTCAGTGTTGTTTCTTTTACGCATAATTTGTACTTGGTGTTTTTAATGGCCTACATTTTTCTTTACAGAGGGCGCTGCTCAGCAAACTGTCGGATCTATAGGTAAGATGAATTTGATGTTACGTAAAACTGTAGACGTCTCGTAAGATGTTGTGGCTTTGTTGTTGTGAAACTGTAGACGTCTCGTAAGATGTTGTGGCTTTGTTGTTGTGAAACTGTACACGTCTCGTAAGATGTGGCTTTGTTGTTGTGAAACTGTAGACGTTTCGTAAGATGTTGTGAAACAATAGACGTCTTGTCAGATGTTGTGACTTTGTTGTTAGGTGAAAGTGCAGACGTCTTGTAAGATGTTGTAGAATATCCACCTATTGTTGTCTCCCCCACCCTTTCTGTTGTGTCTCTTCTCATTAATTGACTAATGTTGTATGCTTTCGACCTCCATTGAAGTGCACGCTTAGGCAGTTCTAAAGCACAAATAAATGTCCACTAGACCTAAATCAGGGGATTTGGCAGGTATGTGGTCTATCAGGATTGTTTTTCAAGAAAACTGCTATTGATTACGAGATGTGGCAGGACTCTCATGATCCTTCATCAACTTCTAATCCTTGTTTATTGTCTTGTTATAGCACCATAATACATTGCCAGTGACTTTCTCGATTAGAAGGTTCTTTTCGTAACCATGCCCTTTACTTTACACTGTCGGTATTGGTTCAGTTAGACTTGTTGTATGGTTTTGGAATCCGTCGCTATCCTAAATGTTCTCCTGCTCGAGATTGTTTCCACCTTCATAGAAAACATTGAATATTTCTTTCTCTGAAGCTCTGTGTCTTTCGTTTCTGCATCTTTTAAAAATCTCGCTGCACAAACATTTCTTTTCGCAAATATTGGTCACATTATCCCAAGTAGCAGATTAAGCATTACAAGCTTGGTCATCGCGGTTTACCTTTAATATGCAGGGCATATACCATTTGTAACGTAATGTAGTTCCAGAGTGTTTAAAGGACCCTCTCTTTTCGCTTCTGTTAGATCTGCTGACCACAAGAACCTAAGAATAACAGCTTATTATCGTTTCGCTTCTTTAAGTCCTGGAGATCACAAGAACTTAAGAATATTAACTTATTCTCGTTTCATTTCTGTTAGATATGTAAACCACAAGAGCTTGATTATCCGCTTATTTTCGTTTCTTTTCTCTGTTAGCTTTGAAGACCACAAGAACTGATTTTGGGTCTACGAAAAGGAGGAACCAAGACTTACCCAAATAGCCCTAATGTGATATATGAAGCAAACAACGTTTTTTATTAATAATAAAT